AGACACTGATGCTGAAAGCATTGTCTCTCTCCAATGACATATAGAAAATAAAGTCTTACCCTGTGACTTATTCTTCATTGCATTGGTATAAGGAAGCAGTGATATTGATTTTAGTGTCTTGTCAAAATTCCAACTTGGGTAATTAGTTTATTCTTACCTAAACTCCTTGATTTACTGTATAGATGGTACTTTTCATATGCCTCATCACAGACAAGAGTGCCTGTACTATTAGAACAGAAAAGTATTAAATGAACCAAACCAAAAACAAGATAGCATGTCTGCCACTTTATGAATTTTTTGTAAAGGATTCTGCAGTAAAACCATTTAAGGGTGCACAATGATTTTAGAAGGGTATAAAAATAAATAAATAAATAAATAGTATAAAAAGAATCCTAATGCAGAACTCTCTTTTGTCCTAAAACTAAGACTTTAAAAAACAAACAAACAAGCAAACAAACAAAAAATTGTTTTTAGAAAGTTTAGGAATTGCCTTAATGATAGCAACTGTCCATTATTTGGATATGTTATGGTTGGAAGACAGTTCAAGGAAAAATGGTGAAAATGGTACATATTAAGCAACAATTAGTTTACTGGACTTAAAGCAAGAAAAAAATGCACTTCTAGAAAAAAAATAATTCCATCTGTTACCAGCATTGAACAAAATCAACATAAAATGAGGCAACATTATTTTGGTCTTTGATCTCTTGGATGCTTTATGACAGAGGTCATAAATCATGTAATTATTATCTGATATCAAGACAGCTTGAATTAACCTCTTTCATTCCTGAGGCAATGAGAGACCTCAACACAAGTCAAAGTCTGCTTGTGTGGAATAAGTAACGTTACTGGGGGAAACAACTCCCTTTCCTCCCGTTTTAGTTTAATCTGGACTTTTGAAAACTTTAGTGGGACAGAGATGGAAAATCTCACACTGAAAATCACTGGATCATAGACATGTCCTGTTTGTTTCTGAAAGCTATGCATCTCTGATTTGTAAATCACATCATCACTTGGGTTCTGGCTTCTTTTAATTGTAGACTTCCTTTTTCCTTTTACTCCTCTTCATCAGGAGAGGTCAGCTCAAGATGCCTCTATATTCTGGCTGCTAAGATCCAGGAAAATACAAAAGGCCTTTAATCCTGACATTTCATTCCTGCCATTGATATGAAACAGCCTGCATTTGATGAGCCTCAGAAAACATAGCAATGAATAGTATACATTTGGATTTTTTTTTTCCAGTTGGCAGTATTGAATGAGATTAAGGATTATTTTTTTGTTATTTTATTTTATTTTATTTTATTTTATTTTATTTTATTTTATTTTATTTTATTTATTTATTTTATTTTATTTTATTTTATTTTATTTTATTTTATTTTATTTTCCTCCTGTAATAGAAAATTTCCAGGAACACCAGTACTTCTTATTTATTTATTTATTTATTTATTTTAATAAATCTGTAAATTGGCCAACAGAAATGATGGGCATATTATGATTAAAACACCTTATTTTTATGTATACAGCAGATAATCATTTGCAGTAGGCACCACACATATATATTGTGAAAAACAGGCACACAATAGAAGGTCTTTCACAAAAGAAATGTACTGTTCCAAAGAGCGATATACCTGAAATACTTTATAACAAAAATAGAGCAGCTAGACTAATAACATCAGAACCAGGTCACACAGAACCATGAGCAATAATTCAGCATTTCGAGTACCAGAAGAAGAAAAGAAGACAATATGTAAGCTTCATAATGAAAAACATAGCAGAATAAACAGAGAAGAATCTTTTACTAACAACACTTGGAGCTGAAAGGGAGATGGGCTGAGTTACATGCACATCCTCTGAGGACAAGCACTGGATTAGGTAGCCCATAAAATGATGTACTTGAAAAACAGTAATGTACTGCTTTGGCTCAGCCAGATGGCAGGTCCTCTTTTCAGGCAGCTCTTGCACTGGATTCCTCACTGCTGAAATGAAAAGAGCAAATTTTAGAATCAGTTCTGTTTGTTTGTTTGTTTTTTTCTAGTAACATGCCACTTTCACAATGTCAGTGGCTTCTTGAAATATTTAACCAATGTTGCTTGCAATCAAGTGTGGCCACCCACTTCTTTGCTCCACTCCAAGGAAAATGCTTGCTTTTCACTATGCATTCATGGTGCATCATTATTATTTCTCTATTCTTTTTAATTCTGGACTCATGGTAATAAAGATGACTGTTCAAATTTCTGAGTACTTAGCTGGGATTTTATGCAGATACAGCCGTCATGAAAATGATAGGCTCCCTGGGCTTCTGTCTGGTCAGATGCTACAAACAACCCAAACCAACACGTAAACTGCGCAGTCTTAGGTCAAAACCTTGATTTAGTATTTCACTATAGGTATAACCAGAATCTGAGGTGCTTTGCAGTCAAGGCCTGAAAAAAACCTTTTCTGCGAATACTGTATTTGTCATTGCAAGGGACTTGTAAGATTTGAAGAAGGCTCCTTTTGCCCTTTTGTCCTGCATACACATGCAAAAGATAGGGACAGACACATTCAGTTTGCAAAGCATCCGGACTGCAAGGCATTGTGTAAGAATAATACATCTGATTACTTGTCTAGTGTATGTGCAAACAAAGACTTGCGCAAGTGAGTGGGCACAGTTCAGTATTTTGATAACAGAGATAGCAAAAGGTTTGGAGATTTTCCATGCTATCAAAAGCTTTTTTTTTTTTTTCCTTTTCTTTCTTTCTTTTTTTTTTTTTTTTTTTTTTCCTTCGCTACATCCTGACTCAGTGCCCCTTCCTCCTAACAAAGGTAGGGCAAGCCAAGGTATGGCATTGGATCAGGCATCAATCCTATACAGAGCTATTTCTCTGAGGATACTGAGGATAAAGTTATATAAAGACAAACTGTGCAAATTATTTTATGCTATATAGTTTATTATAACTACTACTTAAATGGACTCACAAAAATACTGAAATCTTTTAGCAGGAATGAACGAAAAGATTTTTGAAAAATCCTACCAACACCATTGTCTAGACAAGACTTAGCTCTTTTGAGCTAAGTCCACATTCAACATATCACTATAAATTAGGGTGAAATCCCCTGAAATCAGAAGAAAGAACCTTAAAATCTTCTGTAAAAGACAGAAAATCCTATTTAGGAGTAGAGCTATGAGAGAATGTAGTAATAGCCATTTTGCCATACTTATTAAATGTTCCAATCAGGCTAACATTTATTGGTGTAACATCTTCCTAAGTTCCCACAAATCTTCAGAGGGTTGTTTGAAAGTTCTTAATTTTGCTGTGCAGTCTATGATAGAAAAAAAAAAAAAAAGCTTAGGCACTGTGTATTTGAGACTGTGTAATGATAGATCTCACTGTGGAGTGTGATGCATGAGAAGCACATGGCTTTATGCCAGATTTATGTTCTCTTGAAATTGGGGTTGACCTGAGCTTCAAGTCAAAATAACTTATCCTTTATGTAAGTCGCATTTGGTATAGCTGTGAGTAAAAATGAGACTGAGAACTGCATTGCTTTCTGAAGAAAATAGACTGTTATCTATCTACTCAGTAAATATATATGTATATTTATACTGTGTAAACTAAGTTGCAAATATGCAGGAATTTCAAATCACTGCATGCTCTTCTAAAGAAGATGAACCCAGGGCAGTCACTGTCTCATGATTAGAATAAATAATTACCTGAAAGCACAGTGTAAGGTCCATAGAAATCAACAGGAATCTATTGGCTTTGTGGAATTTTAGACCAGACTCTTGAAGAAGTTGGGTAAATCACTCCTCCTGCACATCACTTCATTCATCTGCTTGGTGACTACAACATGCCTACACACTCTGTGACAAGTGAGAGTCTATTAAGTGACTCCCACAGCATTTTCTGCTTTCATCTGGGAAACTCCTTTATTAGTGATAAGCCTCTACACCCTGGCATCCATGTACCAGTCGAGGGGAGGAACATGTTTGTAAACCAGATGCTTTGACGTAGCTGGAACTTAGAAGGGAGGCAGCAGTACTTGGCAAACAAACTTGTAATAAGTGCACTTTGCTTGAAATGTTTATAATTTGTTCTTGAAAAATATGCTGAGAAGATGGGCACTAGACAGTGCTCAACTTTGAAGTTCAAGTGTGAAGGTGGGGATCCTAAATACCTCCCAAGGAACATTTGAAAAAAAACAGCCTGATGCTTCATAAAGTAAAGAATTTGCTTGGGGAGAGGGGATAGGGAGACTTAACAAGTCCTACCATCCTTTCATCTGCAAAGAAATTAACAAAATCTGGAGAAAGACAGCTTCATTGTAAGCAGCAATAAGTTCATGTGAAATCTTAATCTGCTGGTAGATTTTTGAAGAGAAGCACACAGGTTTACCAAATATCTTGTCCAAACTGTGTTGATACTCTCATTTTAGCAGCATAGTGAAAAAAAAAAAAAAAAAAAAAGTCAAATACCTAAACACAAAAAGGGGTCTTACTGACTACTTGATATTTTCTTAAAATAACTCATAAAGGAATTACTTTGCTCAGTTAGGATGTGTGTGATGTCTACAAAAAGCTACTCTCAAGAAACCAACAGACACTAGAGTTCCTTCTGGAGACAGTCGAATCAGAGAGTTAAAAAACAAGACCTCAGGTGCTCAAAATGTAAGGACTAACCCAACTCCCTGTGACATTCTCAGTGCATGACAGAGGAGAATTGCATGTAGAATTGTTGAACAGGGATGGAGGATAAACAGAATGATTTTCAGAAAAGAAGCTCAGCAATTTATTGACATTTAGAATTTCACTGAATACAAAGGGAGAAGTGTTATGGTTTACATTTTTACAATCAAATAAATTCATCTCTGTTTTGATCTCAAGCTGGGAGGGATGCCACGACATGAAGAGGAGCTGAGGGCTATTCAAAAGCCTCAAGATTTTTCCTTCCATTTCTTATCCTGTCTCCCCCATTTCTTTTCTCTCTGTGTACCTTTTCTGCCTTGATCTCCTCTCATTTTAGATGAAATTTGTTTACTGTAAGACTGCCACTGTTGGTGGGGATCACTGAGGACAAGGAGGTAAGTAGTGTTTGCATGGAACTTGAATCTAGGCAGGAGATATCTACTTGGCAGGGAATTAGGTTGTTTGTAAAAGCTCTGGGCTGGGAACGGATCTTTATAGAATAGTTCAGTTGGAAGGGACCTTCAAAGTTCATCAGGTACAACTGCCTGACCACTTCAGGGCTAACCAAAAGTTAAAGCTTATTATTGAGAGCGTTATCCAAATTCCTCTTGAATGCTGATAAGAATGGGGCATCAATCACTTTTCTAGGAAGCCTGTTCCACTGTTTGACTGCCCTCACAGTAAAGAAAATTTTCCAAATACCCAGTCTGAACCTCACCTGGCACAGCTTTGTATAGTTCCTGTGCATCCTGTCATCCATTACCAGGGAGCAGAGACCAGCGCCTCCCTCTCCGCTTCTCTTCCTCAGGACATTGCAGAGAGCAATGAGTTCACCTTTGAGCCTTCTTATCTCCAGACTAGACATCCCAAGTGTCCTCAGCCTCTCCTCATAGGTCATGCCCTATATCCCTTTTACCAGCTTTGTGCTGGGGGAAGATCAATCTTTGGGGAATGCTGTGAAGATTTGGTGGCCAGTGGAAGTCAGGAACCTGCCAGGAGCAAGGTGGTCTGGCTAAAGCTTGCTTGGTGAGCAAAGCAATAAAGGAGTCCAGGGGGTTTCTGCTGGGAGGGTGGTGGCAGGATCTGGGGAAACTCAGGGACTGGGGCAGGTTACCTGTATCTTGGAATGGGGTTTTGGTGAGGAGAAATAAGGAGTACAGACACTTGTACTTGGGATGGTTGACATGGCTGGAGGTTGGGGACCTGAAATCCCACAGAAAAGATAGAAGGCAGAATTTAAATAGCTTGGAACTACTGCCTGAGAGACTTTGTCAAAAGACAGGTAAAATGGTAAGAGCTAAGTAAAATAATACCCAGGGATTAATTGTTGCATAAAAAGCAGTCATAATCTTACCAAATTTTGTCTGTGTTTAATTAAGCATGTGAATAGTTTCATTGATACCTAGAGGGAATACACATGAGTAAAGATAAACACACAAGATAGAAACCTGAAATACGAAATGGTGCATAAAACCAGGAATAATTAATACAGACTGGCAAGTGCTGAGAAAAAAAAAAAAAGAGTGGAGAGAAGGGTAAATTTTTTTTTTTTAAGAAAGAAGCAGATGAGAAGAAAACTATTTGATACTTTATTATTTTCTGTTGATGGTTTAGATGTATGAAAACACATTGAATATTGATATTGCTCTAAAAGCTCAATGTAGAATATATTAAAGAAAGTATATTCAGCTTTCTCGGATTAGTAAGCGGGCAAGATTTGCATTAAAAATAAGAGTCCAGATCATGCACCCTCTCAGACAGGGTTAAACCAGACCAGAAAAAATTGCAGGGTCAGGGCCAAGGCAGCTGCCTGCATGCCTGTTATGTCTGTCATTGTTTGTTTTGTCTTTTTGGACTTGTAAGCTCTTCAGGCTAGGAGCACTCACCATGGGGCCTGACCAACCACCGCTGGCTTCAGTGGGCACTGGTAAGGCTTTGTTTGTCCAGTATTTAGTGCAGAAGTGTCAGGGCCTGATTGGAACTTAGTTATATATGTAATACAAACCAGCCATCTCTCAGGATCTATGTAGGCACTTAGATGCAGACACAAAGTTGTGCCCAGATAGAGCTGGTCAGAGGTTTCAGGTCTTAGAAATTGTTATGATCAACGAAGGCAGTGTAAAAATAAAATAAAATAAAATAAAATAAAATAAAATAAAATAAAATAAAATAAAATAAAATAAAATAAAATAAAATAAAATAAAATAAATATAAAAATAATAGATGGAAAGACAGCTTAAAAGCATTTCTTAAAAGCTTCTATGTCTATTTTCATAGCAGTTGTAACATAAATAAATCAGCACTCAGAGACGGAGGGTTCTGGTGACGTTTTGGTGGATGCAGAAGACTTGCCGTCATATTCCCACGTTCCGGGAACAACAACTGTTACCGGGGCAGGGAAGAGCTGACCAGGTGCGAGCCGCGCCCTGGCAGCGCGCAGCAGGGCGCGCAGCGGGGCGCGCAGCGGGGGAAGAGCGGCGCTTTGGTGCCACCGCGTGGCTCACGGAGGAGCAGGGCTGAGGGGGGGCCGCCCCCCCTCCACCCCGGCCCGTTCCCGGTGTTTAATTACTCCTCGCTGTATTAAGGCAGCAGAGCGAGGCCGTGTTGTTTCCAGGATGAGGCTGTGCGAGACGCACAGGGAGAGCTTCCAGGATTCGATAGCACTTAACATGAAAATTCTTTGTTTTTCGTGTAGAATTACATAAAACTTTGAAGAGCTGGGCTTGATAATGCCAGAGGAGGAGATGTGCTAGCTGCCGGTAATTGGATTTCAGCTTTACTTCAGCTATAGCTGAAGTGCAGACTGGGTCATTGTGCAGCCCTCAGATAACGCTCCGCTCTCTATCCGCATGCAGATGTGCCACTACCAGCAGTCACAGTTTTGAGTGGACTTTGGGGTGGTTCATGATCCCTGGAACAGAGCACGTTGAAGTCTTATGTCTCCCTCCTCCCCTCTATTCCCCTCTCACCCCTCCTATTCCAAAATCCATCTGCTTCTTTTTTGCAGACCAGATATTTGCAGGGTGCACCTCCCAGAATCACTGGGTGCTGTATTTCTTGTAACGATTTCACAGACATAATAGGAATCTTACATAACCAGAGAACCCAGAGCAAATTAAGGGTAAACTTTTTGACTTCTGGAATTGGAAGAGTCTTGATGTTAATCAGGTGTGTGACACCTCATAAGTATTTCATCTGGAAGCCTCTAGCCAAATTTGGAGAGCCTCAAGCCAATTTTTTTATTTCAATAAAAAAATGTCCAAGTGAAGTTCAATGGAGGAACTAGGAGCAAACATAATGCTTGCTGGGGAAGGAAGAGTGGCCACTACTTTTATTAAACCTTTCTACAAAGAGTAGCAAAAGCTTCTCATAGTGCAGTCATTTACCTATTTGGCCTAGATCTTTCCTGCCCTTCCTGGCAATTAGTGTCAAGGCACAGTATCAGCTATCTCTTCATGGTTAGAGTTTGCAGAAAATACTGTTGGCAACTGGTTAAAGGGCTATGGGGGCCCTGAATACTCTTTCTTACAGAATCTATTTTTGGATCTTCAGAGTTGAAATATAAAATGTGGGTTCCTACAGCTGAAAATATACTTCAAGAGCTGTTTCGTGTGTGCAAATACTTACAATGCTAAGTGGTGATACTCCAGGCTGCCTTGCTGCCTTTCCTAGTGATTTGTTAGGCTCTTTTTTTTTTTTTTGTTTTGGGGGGGGGAGGGGGGGCGGAAGTGGGTTGAAGGGGTGGGGAACAGAATTCTTAAGTCTAAATCCAACAGTACCTAGAAAAACTTGCAGTGAGTTCAGTGGCAAATTCCATTTGTGGCCAGGAAATTCTGATCGCATTGAACCCAATGGTGAAAGTTTTTTTTCTAGTGTTTTCAAGAGTGTAAGAGCTCCTCTCTATCCTTTGTTTATAGAAAACTGCTCAGAGAGAGTGATAAATGTTATAGCATTTCAAAGTTACTTCTGGAAATAAATTGACCAGAAATTCACAGGTGTTACTTATGTTTAGTATGTTTGTGTGTATAATTTCAACATACAAATCACTTTTGAGACTGAAGAAAAGGCCTCTACATAAAGGCCTCTACTCCTAAGGTTAAAATATATGGTAGTATAAAGATTATGTCTTCTCAATCCATGTGTACATTTTTAGTTTACGAACAAAGCCACTTATATATATATTTATCAATAGGAAAGTGCATTAAAAGCTTCATATTGAAAACAAAATGCAAACACTGCAAGCCATGCAAGAAAGACACTGGTACCATGTATTTCCTCCAAGCGAAAAGTGAGGATCCATAGCATTTTGGAATTCAGTGACGACCCTTGTATATCAGTACATCTCCACACTACTTAGAGTTGGCATTAGCTGAGTCACTTGCTACTTTCAGTTACAGCTCCCTCATAGAGAAGGTATATTAGAAAAATCAATAGAGAAATCAATACATTTTACCCAAGTTATCAGATGTGCCCCAGATGCTTAAGTTGTTAAATAGCATTTGATTCAAATAAAATGTATCTCACACCCTTTGTATTGAAGTGAGAGTTGGCATATATTTCTCTTCTCTCTCCTCTCCATTCCCAGTTGAGTAGCATTTGCACTCTGGCACCAATTTATGTGGAATTTCAATGTGTGTTTGAAATAAAATTGATTAGCATTTTCTCTCCTGAAGAACTGTCTTAAGATCATCCCAAAAATTATAGGAAATTAGGTTGTATAAAAAAGCTTTTTAGTTTTATTTCCCAAATAAAGAAATAATGCAACATAATGAAAGACTGTGCAAGAGAGAGCTGCTCTAGGAGTACTTTAAAAAAGCAACAGTCAGTGAAGTGGAAAAATGAGGGAACAAAGACTGGATTTCACAGTAAACTGTTTCCATTGGATTTCATCTCTAGATATTACACTGATATTTTATATGCATACAAATTATATTCCAAGGGAACACTACAGGGTAAATTAACAGTGCATTGCACATAGATTAGACATGCAAATGACAAAAATGGGAGGTAAGTATGAAGAAAATGTATCCCTAAATCAGCATGTACTTAATTCATTAACAAACAGGAACACCAGGGAAGCATTTTAAGACATACTACATTTTTCAGGATGACACATAGCTTTTAGTAAAGATGTTGGTAGTACTCTTCTCAAATTCCCTCACAACAGCATTGTTTTTAATATGAACATTATTTGCAAGCTAATTCTTAAAGTAATATATGAAAAGAAAATGTTTTCTTGGTGTTAGCAGAACCCAGTATCTGCAGGTTAGAATAACACTTCAGTACATATTTAGTGAACTTCCAGTTGGGTGGGAGATTCAGCTGTTTCCAAAGCTTAACAATGACCAAAGAAACCTACTGAAAACTGCAATGTCAGTAAACTTTGCTGACAGATTGTGTGACTAAGATTTGAAGGAATGAGAACAATGACAAGATGCAAGTCTGGGGGAAAGAAGGAGGTTATCCACATGTGTACTTTACCAGTGCAGTATAGATTGCATCTATTTAAGCAGACTTGGATTCACCAAGTGTAATTGAAGTGATGTAGCTAGCAGGTAAGTCTGGTATTTTTACTCCATTGGAGTAATCAGAAATTTCATCTTGAGTAAGTTAACTAGCACTGATGACTTTTGAGATCATGTATTCAATGTATACTACTAGCCTATCTTAACCAGTTTATCTGAATGATCTTCACTACTTCACCACCATGGTTGCTAGAAGATATCAAGAGCTGGCTCATATCTGTATATCACATCTGTATTTGTACTTTCAGTGAGAGCTCTTTGGGCATCTTGCAGCTCCTCACTTACTTTGTAAAAGTAAAGATAAAGATGTCATTCAGTTCAGAAGTCAAACATTTTAGAGGAAAAGGCTAAGAAAATGGCAGTGCAAAGTTTTCACTGCAGTGTCATACAGCTCTATGATAGTATATAACTACTTTTTCAGCTGTATTGAAACAAATGGTGAAAAGATGTTCTGAGAGAAAGCTAAGGACTCGTCATGTCTGAGCAGTTAGACTGCTGTTGACACAGAATGGCAGCAGTCATCCAGTATCTTGTTTCAGATATAGCTGATACACAAAAGGATTGTGTCCCCTGCTTCAGTCTTTTCTGTTGGTTTTGTGTCACTTGCCTCCATCATGGACACCAATATCAGGCACAATTTTGGATACCAGAATACTATTGATTCACCCAGACACAACCAGAACCTCAAAAAGATTGACCTAGCACCCTCTTCCTTCAAAATTGTTGCCAACCAGCCTTCTGCCTCTGAAAACATCTCATTTTGAGATGAATGTCACTGCTGAGAGGTCTGAAGAGCATGATTGCACATGCTTTAATTAAAGGTCTTGGGTCTGACAGGCTGTGACATTATCTAATATACAGCTTTTCCTTCAGAGCTGCAGATCACTGTTTTGTGAACTAGTACTTTTTCTGAGCACTGTCTCAAGTTTCCCAACTCATGTCATTGACACGATGGACCCAAAGTAGTGACAAAACTTCAGAGGAGCAATCATTTGGTGTCATTTCAAGATTCTGTCCAGATTTGAAACATCTCCAAAATGCTGGGACAACAAACAACTGTGAGCTGATCTTCAGTGAACCAAGGCTAAAGCATTTTGAATCCTTTTATTCAAAGTAATTTTGTTGGCACTTTTAGGAAAATGAAGATGGGTTGTTTCAAGTGTCAGATCATATATTTTGCCAAAAAGTCAAGTATGTTGAATAAATCTCTCCCATAGAGTTAAGAAAGTATACAGTTCTACACAGTGGGTACTTCAAACCCTTTATTGAGTCTGCTTCTCCTATGAATCACAGAACATAAAAATTCATAAAAGAATATTTGAAATAACTGTCTTCACTCACGTAGCCACCAAGGACCAGACTTTGTGTCATCACTGACATAAACCCTTCAGTAAAATCTTGGACACTGTTATTTTGCAAAGAATGAAGATTTGCATATGCACTTTGCTTGAAAGAGTCAATCCCTAATGTAAACTCATCTTAGGTATTTTTTAAGATACTATGGAGAAGCCTGCCATCCTGCAGTCAAATGGGTAATTTTGCTTTTCAGAGCATCTGATGTAATAACAGTTTTCAGGGAAAAATAATTTACTTTTAAAAAGCAATGTTCTTTTATTTATTTATTTATTTTTGGTAGAATTAAAATCTTGTTTCTTCTTTCAGTATTTGTCCCCTGTAATCTACTATTTAAAGCACAGGATAAATTCACAGCAACATCCACTTGCTGTGCTAGGCAATATTTCTTCTTTGATCTTTCAAGTGAGAGGATTCTATTGAAGCACAGTTAGAAAAATTAACCTTTCCAGTTGCTTTTCACATGTATACATCAAACTGCCATTCTAGGGAACAATTCATTGGCCTGGCTTGTTGGAACTTGGAAACTTGTCTCTGCTTTTGTTTGCTAACAGATTACTTTGTTAATTCCAAAGGTTTAGCAAGCACCTTGTTTTTCCAACAGAATTTCATTCATCCATTCTTGTTCTATATGAATAGATTTCTTCTGGTCACTGAGAGATAGGACTTTGCTTTCACATTCATACATTTTCCCCTGCCTAATTATTTGAAATGTTTGACACCCCAGATGTACAAACAGTCATTGGTCTCTGTGGAGTTTGTTGGGCTGCACATTGGTGATGGATTTAAAAAATGCACTTGGACACGTATTGAATCCATAAAAGAATGTATGCACACTGCATATAGTCGGGCCTGAACTCTACTGCACTTCATAGTCATTCACATTAACACAAAAATCTGAATTGACTTCCGAAAGTTAAAGATCAATCTGGTAAAGATCATGCTCCTAAAGAAAAAAATATATATATATAATTTGACAAATGTAATTCCAGTTTGTATTTTCAGATTTATCATGATTTTTTTTTATTTTTTTTGGGGGGGGAGGGTGGGGGGAGAGAAGGTGAGGAGTGGGGAGGGATGAGGATTGGTGGTGGTGGTGTTTTAATTTTCTGTTGCTTAGATTCAGGTCCCTGGAAGATTTGAAGATTGTCTTCAAAGTGGTCTGCTTTGATTGCAGTCTGAAACAAGCAAAGAGGGAAGAGAATCAGAAAATGGACAAGAATGAGTGAGCATCTGGCTTTGTGAGTACATTTGTGAAACATCTGAGAGGCAGAGGAAGATCTCTTCTCCAGTCCCTGATCTACTGTGTATTCAGAACTAACAGTGAAGGACATGCTGCAGCAGAGATTGCTTTTCAAATTTCTGTCTATGCAGTAAGCTGTTCCTTGCTTTTGGACTGTAAGAACATATAATATCTGGTTGAGCTTTTGTTGCATAGCTTGGCGATGGGAGAAGGAACAGCTTCAGGAGGGAGATCATCATTCCTGAGGAATATCCCATTACCTATTGAGTAGTGCATGTTACTCTAAACTGAGGTTCAAATCTTCTAGAAATAGGAGGAATGCAGTTAAAGGCTTTGAAATCAGTAGAACCCAAATTTTGACTTCACATTTAAATAGATATACACTAAAAATTATATTGTTTCCCCAGCTTTAAGATACATCAGGTTTACCTAAGCCTCTATGCTTCTTATGCAGAGTAGTCATCAAGCTGGCTGCTGAATTATTTCCTTATAAGATCATTTAACTTCAAAACTTCATACTATACAGGTCACATGTTCTGGTGATATTCAGAAGGGAATTGTCACTTTCAGACAACTAATATCAGTCATTCTTCTATCTATATTTGGATTGCAGGCTCAGGAAAGTGTGATGGCAGTTATTAACTGCTCTCAAGAAATCCACTTGCAAGATGGATTTATTTCTTGATTAATGATGGAGATTATTCAAGTATTAATTCCAGTTTTTTATATCACAAACTTGATATCATCCTTGTTCTCTCCACCCTTAAAATTACTATGATTACTCTAATTGTTAGAAAGCTATTATTTGATTCAGATTTGCAAAGTAATTATCAGCTAGTAGCACATCTGCCATTTCTTACTAAATTTTGGTATGTATTGTTGTATCTCAATTAACAAAAGATCTACTAACTGAAGCATTGCTACATGAATTCTAGTAAGTCTTTCAAGCATGACATAAATTTTGTACTGATTGATTCTGACTTACTATGTGCTGTTTAATTTGTTGCTTTGCATTTCAGAACTGTTCTGTGAACCCAGTGCTTGATGGTTTTTACAATGATTTTCTAGTCTGCAGCAATCAGATGTACATGTAAAGGTTTTAACTGATGGAGCATCCTTTATGACATTGTTTTTACTCTTGCTTTGTGAGATGTATTCTCATTACCTTCTTTCTTTGATTGTGTCACAGGCTACAGGGATTAAATAGAATTATAGTTTTTAATCTCATCTTTGAGAATGTACTACTAACATAATGGGATAATTATCTCCACATGTCTAGCTTCTCTTTCATGAATATGAGGAACAGTGGAGGCAGCAAACATATCAGATATTAATACTGGAGCATCATTGATTTGCTTTTTACTCCAACCATACTTATATAAAGTTATTCAACTTGTTACAAAATTATAAACAATTTAAGAATTACAATATTTTGAGCATTTGTAAATATGTAAACATGCTTGTGTGCACACAAACATACATGTATACCACAAATGTCTGTTAGTGTTTCTATATTAAACAATTTCAATAACGCACTACTACACTCTTTAAGAAGCATCTTGTACTGAATAAAAGTACAAGTATACTAACAGTATAGTCTATAGTATACAAGTACACAAGCATACAAGTATACTAATAGTTCAGTTGATGTGTCATGCTGTTTTCTTAACACTGTAAACACTTCTGGGCTATGAAGTTCAGATTATGTGTTTTTTTTTTGTTTTTTTTTTGTGAAAATACTTTCATGATCCTTTTTAGAAACTGTTATCAGACAAAACCCATTTCAAAACATCTGCAGACTTTTCTCAAACTCCTTCTGCAGTCTCCAGATTTAGAACAATCTCTGCTTACAATGGTTTCCTTTTGCGACTTCTAATTTCAGTAATTTATCTTACGGGTGGTACAAATAACTATAGCCATGAAAATACTATTAGAAAGTTAGAAAGAAAATTATTTTAATTTGGGGAACCATATCTAAGCTGTGAAGACTGGAGCATATGCTGCTTTGTTTGTATGTAATGGCTGCTTATTTAGATACTTTTACTGTACTTGGTATTTACATGTACCATTATACCAGGAATCCTAGCATTCTGTATTAGAATTACTAAATAATTCTAAAAGTCTTGAACAGACTGGATTGTGATCCACAGCTTTGGTATTTTATGGAAGAGGAACAAAGAAGGATGATAAAATTTTCTCCCGTAGTGGAACTGTATATACTGGCCTATAGAGATATTGTTTTATTTTAATTGATATATGGACTTATTTTTTTAAAGCACAGTAGAGTATATTAGTTATATATTTTGATTTTTAATATGCATGTTTAAAAAGATGGAACCATATTTTATTTTTAATAATTCTGGTCTGAGCACATGTAGTTAATTCTAATCTGTTTACAGTACAAAAATGCATACATATCTGTCAACATCAACACTAGAAGACTAGAGCATTGCTCAGAGTAGAATGCTGTAGCACTAATTATTTCCTTTTAGACTTGCTGTGGAATTGGCTTCTACAACAGCAAATTGCAAACTGCTCAAATTACATGTTAAATCACTTTATTTAGGGTGAAATTCTGTTGTTATTTCTATTTCTCATGTTCAAAATTCTGGTGTGTCAGTAGAGTAATTCTGTGAAAGAGGAACCATGCTTTCCTGCGCATAGAGACCTGGACTTCCCTAAGCCAGCATGGGGAAAGCTCTTGGGCGTCAGGATTCTTTAATTTCATAGTACTGCACAACATTCAAGATCTGCAGCTTCTGTTACAAATTGGGTGGCCTTGGGGGTCCCTTCCTTCTCTCAAGCTGTAAAATCAAATATGTACAAGCTGATACCTAGGGATTTACTTGTTCTTGTGATTGTGACTTTTTTAAGTATTGTATATTTACTAAAGCTTTCTCTTGCACACACTTGGACTGTGTGGAAGCATGAAAACATTTTCCCAGCAGGCAGATTAATGCCTTTTGTCTTACTAATGAAAATGGGGAAGCTGTTCTGTTGCCATTCACTGCTTAATGTCTCCTTCTTCAAAATGAACCTAGTACTCTGTAAAAGAAGCTCATTCAACTGGCTGTTGATAGGTTTCTAGCCTCAGTCTGAAGCACAGTTACCAGGATATTTTTCACTATAACTTCAGACTTATTGGATGTTTTTTCCTGATGCTGAGGATGTCCCCATTCCCTTTTTATTCTTTTACTTACAGAGAGGTAGTCATTAAAACAAACAAACAAACAACAACAAAAAAAAAACAACAGCTGGCCAAACACTTTGGCTTGTTTCTACTTGTTAAGATGGTCCTTCTCAGCTCCAGACATGCCAGAACTTAGAAGGACTAACACGTCACAAGTGTAGTATAAACCATGCACTGTCTTCAAAGAACCCAAGTAGGTAAGCTCTATGTGCTGAAAGCACAATATTAAATCAAATGTTAAAACTGCCTAAGATGCTACAGAAACTGTTGAAAGCTCCAAGAGGTTTTTTGAAGAGCTGACAGCTTTATCTGAAGACAAAATTTAACAGAACTTCCCAGGAGCAAGTCCTTTAACTGAGGCTTTGTTTGCTGAGCTATGAGGTTGACTCAAGCCTACTACATACTCTGCTGGGAAGTCTATTAGGCACACAGGAAAACTGGTATGGTATAGTCTTACAATAGAAATAAAGTCTGCAAGCATTTCTCTGGAGCTTGGATGCACCTGGTCCAAGCAAGTCTATGTTGGGAAAAAGGTTCAAAGCTCGGTTTATAGTACAAAAATTATGCATTTTAAGCCATGTCCACATGACCCATTTGGCAGAAACCCATACCTTAATAACAAGGATGGAATTATATTTGTAAGCAATTATCACTGTTTGGCATATAATATAGATAATGGATGTTACAATTGTTGCATATTGGTAACATACCCAGGCCAGATAACATAAACTCGGGAAGGGTCTAGTTAAAGTTACACTTCAGAGAAATTCAATGATTTATGTACAGGAGAGCACATTTAAATGACACCAAGCTGGGAGGAAGTGTTGATCTGATGGAGGGTAGGAAGGCCCTGCAGATGGACCTGGACAGGATGGGTTGATTGGCAGAGGCCAATGGGATGAAGTTCAATATGGCTAAGTGTTGGTTCCTGCACTTTGGCCAAAACACCCCCATGCAGCACTACAGGCTTGGGGGAGAGTGGCTTGAGAGCTGTGCAGAGGAAGAAGATCTGGTGGTGCTAATCAATGCTTGCCTGAACATGAGCCAGCAGTGTACCCAGGTGGCCAAGAAGGACATCTTGGCTTGTGTCAGGAATAGTGTAGCCAGCAGGACCAGGGAGGTGATTACCCCCCTGTACTCTGCTCTGGTGAGGCCGCATCCTGAGTACTGAGTTCAGCTTTGGGCCACTCACTACAAGAAGGACATTGAGGCCCTGGAGCGTGTCCAGAGAAGGGCTGTGAAGCTGGTGAAGGGCCTGGAACAGAAGTCCTGTGAGGAACAGCTGAGGGAACTGGGATTGTATGGTTTGGAGAAGAGGAAGCTCAGGGGTGACCTTGTTGCTCTCTCCAACAAGGAAGCTGTGGGGAGCTGGGGCTTGGCCTCTTCTCACAGATAACTAGTGACAGGACTAGAGAGAATGGCCTCAAGTTGTGCCAGGGAGATTCAGGTTGGAAATTAGGAGACATTTCTTCTCAGAAAGAATAGCCAGTCATTGGAACAGGTTACCCATGGAGGTGGTAGAGTCACCATCCCTGGGGGTGTTTAAGAAAAGGTTGGACATGTTGCTTAGGGATGACCATGATTTAGTGGGTGACCTTGGTAGTAGGGTGATGGTTGGACCACATGATTTTGAAAGTCTTTTCCAACCTTAACAATTCTATGATTCTACGAATCAACCACAGCTGTGTCCTATAGTGAGATACCATCTAGTTAATTGTGATTGGGGTATTCTCACAATTTGAGCTTACACTCACTGACTCTCCAAGAGACTTTCAATATTTCCTTTTTTTTTTTTTTTTTTTTTTTTTTTTTTCCCGTCATGGTGTCCCTATAGGCCAAACCTGACATACCATCATGGATATGTATCCAAGCCCCACCAGGCTGGAAGAAGTGTTTGTGCTTTGCAGCCTCCAAAGGGGAATTGTCTTCCATGAACTGTTTCAGGGAGTGCAAGAAATGGATAACTGCTGGGTGAGCATAAATTACTGTGCATAGGTGTGAGTGGCTATACAGTTTAGTGGCTTCTTTTTCTACAGAGCTTTTGTTTGTGCCTCTGGGCAGGTTATGGTTATTTTCCATATGAAAGAAGATAAGTCTAAGAGTCGTAAGTTGTGCTGCACAGCAAATGTATCAGAAATTAAACTTTATGCTAACTTTCCAGGCTTTATAGGCTTAGATACATTACTGAACTTTTAAAATAAATATTTGTATAAGCTGGTGAAGATCAACTGCAAAATGAATGTTATTATTTGCCTTGATATGATTACCCATAAACTGTTGTTAATAAAAGGTTCTTATGCTCAGGCCTAGTTTTCTTACCAGTCATCATTAAGATGCAGTTTATTGAAAATGTTAGGAAATATATGATTCAAACATAACTCCATTATGTAGAAGTCATTTTCTTTAGTGCAAAAAATAAGAGAGAAATTACACTATTTATTTATGAGAGCATATGTGACCTCCATTCCAGCTATTTATGTCGTATACTGGCATTTCATCTGTGTACTCTCAAAGTAGATCAGCTTTAAAAAGATGACCTCTGTCTTATTTATGGGCAGAACAGAGGTGACAATAGTCAAAATGCTGAGATTATGATTTCCTGACATTTTTATCAACCTCGGTAATGCATTTCAGCTGGAAAATGCTGAAGTTGACAATATGTAATTTTTGAATATTGTGTTAATATAATATTTTCTGTAATTCAGCATTTGTAACTGTTGTTTTCACTTCTAACGGAGTCTTTTACACCACATGTACTGCCGCAGACATTCCTGCACAAGCGTATAATTCATCCATTTAATTTTCAAGAACATTTCTGTCTTCTCATTAAATGGTAATTTCCTGTATCAGAAATTTAATGTCCTCTCTAATTGTAGGGTGATCAAAATCAGAAAATTATGTATTTTTATATGCTAAGTGGAATTTGGGTTTTGGAATTCATGTAAAATATATAACTTGATTTGTTTCTCATTGCTTTTAAATTTTGAATTCAGGTTGTTTGCAAATTAGTACTTTGACATTTTCATCACAAAATGACATACTAACCCTACCCCTTCAGCTGTGATGAAAAACATTATTAAGATCACAATGTCAGGCTTTCACAGGCTAGGGAAAGAAATTGGCATCTTGTCTAAATTGTGCTTTCCTAACTTGGCCCTTACCTCAGTTGAAGGCATTACAGTATGGTCTTTAATTATATGAAAAGTCTATTTTTTTTCTTGCCTTATTTAATATCCAAAGTAGATCTATTTTGTAGATGAATTAGAATTGCATAATGAAGAAATACTGGGTTTTGTTGAGGAACTTGGAAGGTATTTAGCAAACTGGTTTAGGGATTCCAGGAAGAAAAATGATTGTCTACTTTATAGCAGTTGAAGTTTACCTTGAAGAGATGAATTCCTCTCTTTCATCTGTTACAATATTTCTGGACAAGCTAAATCAAACTTTTCACAGATGGTCTGGTTTCCTTGTTGCTTGAGTTCATTGCAAACGTTCTGAACACTCAGAGCTAAAAACCAGGGCACTGGGAGCTGGGCTTTGAGCATTTGAGTGTTATACAATGATTTCACAAATGTGATGTCCAAAGTGAGCACGTACATTTGACCTCAGTCTTTTTAAGTCTATGTTTCAAGACAATCCTCATCTCTCAGGGTATTTAAAAGTAGATTGTGTTATGGCTTTGAAAGATAATAAAAAATAGTGAATGGATATTTTGTCTCTAGGTCAGTGTTTAAACTATGCACAGTATAAGCCACAGATACACATTGAATGATGGGGAGAAAAAAATAGTTGGTCATTACATGAGTAGAATCTTCCTCCACTGGGGCATGCAGGTGCTATACAAACAAGCAAAAGTTAAAACAAATTGAAAACAAAACAAAACAAAACAAAAAAACATAAGAAAGTATACTGACAACTACATAATCAGACTGGAAATATCTAAGATGGGAGTTCCCAGGCTACGGTATGTGTACTACTAATGGTATGAAAACTATTTCAAAGTGATTTTCAAATAAGATCTGAGCATCTAGGCAGAAGAATGTTTGCACGTAAATTCCTTGTATTGCATTTCCACAGGAAACTAGGGCACAGATCTGGAAGCATGTGTATGGTTTAATACATGCTTCAGTTCCATCACCATCACTAATGTGGTAAAATGCAGTTCTTTTTCCAAAACAAACTAATAAGGTTATTCTAAGCTTAAAGGATGTCCTGTTAAGCAACAGGCCACATTAGCTCAAAGCAAATTACTACTGTATATGCTCATTCCTCTCCTCCAACTGTTGTTTAGCATGGAAAATTAAGTTAAATGGCATTGTGTCCTTCTAGGAATATCCTCAGGTGCACTTCACAAGCTTTTGCCAAGTGAGCTAATGGAGCAAGTGAGAACAGGAGTAGCTTGTTGTCTTGTGTAATTTTAAAGTAATTTGCTGACAGCTAAAGAATTAAGTATTACATTCCATCCCAGGCACCCTAGCATATGAACTAGTAGGCAGAGACTTTTCACCTGCTACTCCTTAAACCTGCCCTGACTTTTCTTATCACTAGCTTTCATTTTCATCTGATTAAAATTGCCTGGCATTCACAGTTTGTATTCCTCAGACTTCTCAGAGGTCCTGCCTCCCTGCTCAGTGAATCTAGGCTCATTGTCTCAACACCAGTTATTTCCTTCCTTTCCTCAGTCCAGTCTTGCTAGCTGGCCACCCCTGAACTCCACCTTCTCCAGTCATTTTCCAAGTCTCAAGTTTTGTACACATGTTAGGGCTCTGCATGACATCCTCACAACAGAGTTTTTAGAGATTTACTACTCAAATTCACATTTTCAGTGAACAAATATTTCAAAGCAAGATTTTCTGAAAGTTTATAACTTAGCAAAAGCTGGATATTTTCACTGGAATGATTGCTATACTTTCCTGATTAAAAAGTTCTCCATTAGCAAATTTTCTGTGCTGCTCCTATAATACATGCCCATGAGTCTGCTCATTTCCACTCTCATTGCCCATGTAGTTCTCAAAGAGTTGAAACATTTCAGATGAAATTTAGAAAAGGAAATAAAGAAAAAAGGAAACAGAAACAAAATCAGCTGAAGGCAAATGTTTTAAAGTACAGCTATATGTTAAGCAACTGAAAATAAAATAACCATCCATAAAACTAGAAGCACCTTTAATCAAAGTAGTGAACTTCCATATAATATAGGATAAATCCTTTCAACATGCATCTCAAGCAGCCTTAAGTATAAAACTACTTTCTGTGCTTTAAAATGTCCAGTTTAATATAATTTTGTTGTTACAATGAGGTTGCTGGGTAGATATATACATAAAACAAATATATTTAAGTGAGTGCTTTATATCATCATATACTCTACAACTATGTAAGCACCCAAGTCAGTATATATGACTATGTAAACTAAAAGCATAGATATAAACTTGAGCAATTTCACATAGTTGACATTATCCGAAGAGTGAAAATTTCTTAAATGGATTGTACCCAACTAATGGGCAAAGTAGTAATTAGTCATGCTGTCATTAACTAATCATTTAAGCAGGTTAATTGACATGTGGCCATGCATTTGAGAACCAGACTTGAACTTAAATACATATTAAAAATAATATTGCAATCCTATTTCACTTGAAATATTTATTGATCTGAACATTTATTCAAAAAGAAGCAAGTATACATTTAATTGATAAAAATATATAAATGTACAATGATTCTTGGATCAATACAATATGTTGGAAATAATAGTGCCAAGTGAGTCCCAGACAATGTATAAAATTAAAAGATCAGAAGAATAACTCACTTAGTATTTCCAACAGTGTGATAGGTTACAGGTAGCATTTCCAAGACATTCACAACCGACAAAGGAAAAAAGTATTAATGCTTCCTATTCGATACGATATAAATGTAATGTATGGGTGTGCATGTTTGAGCATATAGTTATACATATGCATGCATACAATCTAATTTGAAACTAATAGAGCTGCAGTATACAACAATATGATTAATACAGGACAATTTAAAAATAATTTTATTGGGCAATTAGTGCTAATGGATTTACTCATACTTCATAATCTATGCACTGTCATTGACTAGTAGAATTATTAAAACCAGTATTAATTGCTATCGTTTCAAAGCTAATACTCTTAGGTAGCAATCATTGGTAATCACTGGCTTACATGACTGAGTAAGCACATTTGCTGTCTTCAAACATATACAAACATTCAAAACTGTGCAATATATATTAATATATTGTATCTTGACAGGGTCCCAAACAAAGCTGCCCATGAAGTTACTGCACTTCAAGTACTTTCTAGTACTTACAGATGTATCTGAATGCTTAACTTCGCTGCAGCTTCTAAGAAGAGAAGAAAACAGAATTAGGCAATGCCTGTTGAATATTTAGGAAAATATTCTGCTGCATTGCTGAAGTAGAAGGAGATCCATAAAACCAGTCCACAGAAATGCTCTGTCGTTTATTAGGCTGTAGTGGAGGTAAAAACTTCCCCATGATTAAATCACTGTTTGCATTCCATTTTTGGTATTCTGGCATAAACTGCAGTCTGTCAGCATACAATATTTTCCACAGAGGATCCAGAAAATAATGTGTTTGGTAAAACAAACTTGGTGCTGGGTAGGAGGGATAATGTCCCCATGGCATGAAATTATTCACAGTAAGGCAATGCTCTAGCTCCTTTTGACGTCCTCGCTTTCGTGACCGTCGATGTTGCCTGAAGTCCCCATGAACAAAGTCATTTAAGTTTGATGGGTGAATACTCCAGTAGTTTCCCTTGCCATCCTCACATCTCCCCACTTTGATGAAACAATCATTTAGTGAAAGGTTGTGCCTTACACTGTTTCTCCAGCCTTGACTTTTGTTCCTGTAGAAAGGAAAGTTATCTTCAATGTATTTGTAGATAGCAGCTAAATTCAATTTATTTGTAGGGGAGGAAAGAATTGCCTTTGCAATTAAGGCTATGTAAGACAGGGGCGGTTTTTCCAGAAATCTTCCTTCATCCACTTGTACAGAAAGACCATTTTTGGTGCATATATGAGAGCTGGAAATTCGTGGTGGAATCCTCTGAACCACTTTTCTTTCTTCTCCTACAGTATGTATGGATGGACTTCCTTCATTGTTTTGAGAAAGGTCTTCAGTCATTATAGCAGCATGAAGTATAGCATTTACTTTATTTCAAATGTTCTGATATTTTACTGCAAGTAGTCAGTTGAATATTGGTCTGCTGAATATGAGCAGCAGGAGAAAAGGAAGCAGGACTTTAAATATGCTGCTCTCACGTACCCAGATTCCTATTTTATACTTTGTTAAGTCAACATCCTTAACAATGAAAACAGAACTGCCAATGTTTACAAAAGTCAAGGTACGAGTCCTAGCTGAATGAAAAAAATATAAAATAATTATACTATGTTAAGTATGAAGATAAACAGACCATGACGTTAGCCTTTTACTTCAGTATAATCTGAGAAAACACCCTTCAGTGTTCCCCATTGAAACGTAATGATTAATGAAAAAATGGTTGTGGCTAGATAGCGTTGTGAAAGGATTAGACCCTCCACTGATATGCAGAACAAATTGAAATCAACATGTTGGTTCCTGTGTTGTACACCTAGTCAAGCATGTTGTATTTAGTACAATAAACATTTGCTTTACGCCCTAAAAGAAAGTACTGCGTGACACTTGCTATCAAATTTGGTAGCTGCAGGATACCTATTCTTGGTGAAATTGAATGAAAGACACACACACACAAAACCAAATTACTCCCCATTTATTTTCTTAACTTTCTGGTCCCAATTGTGCAACTAGTTTTCAAACTGAGTATGCATGTGACTGTTCCTACTGACCCAAGAAACCACTTGAGGGAGCAAGTACTACTCAGAGCAAGAGAGTACTGTGCTCTGGGACTCCCAATGCTTGAACTATCACTTGAACTTTGACATAGCCCTCAGAGTTCTGAGCCCTGACACTATTAAGGACAAGATAATCATCTAATGTGATTAGTCAAGGAAATTAATTAAACATGTTCAAATATGTTCTAAAGCAAAACAAAACAAAATGGCTTTGAATGTTTTGAAAGCTTTGAAAGACAAACTTGCTCCTCAAGGGAATTTTTTCTCTCTGGTATTGTATTCTTTTGGGTCACTTTTGATGTGTATGATATGTATTCTCAAATGAGATCAGAGTTTCAAGGCATCAACCGCAGCCTTGAAGATTCAGTCTTATGAAGATGATGTTATTCAGAATCACAGAATCACAGAATTGAAAAGGTTGCAAGGGACCTCGAGAGATCATTGGGTCCAACCCCCCTGCCAAAGCAGGTTCCTTAGAGCCGGCTGCCAAAGTAGGCGGCCAGACAGTCCTTGAATATCTCCAGAGAAGGAGATATTCCACAACCTCCCTGGGCAGCCTGTTCCAGTGCTCTGTCACCTTCACCATGAAGTTCTTTTGCATGTTGGTGCGGAACTTCCTGTGCTCCATCTTGTGGCCATTACCTCTTGTCCTGTCCCCACAAACCACTGAAAAGAGGTTGGCTGAATCCCTCTGTCTCCCACACCTCAGGTGTTTATACACATTTATGAGATCCCCTCTCAGCCTTCTTTTCTCCAGGCTGAACAGACCCAGGTCTCTCATAGGGAAGATGTTCCAGACCCCATATCATCTTTGCCCATCTCCAATGGACTCTTTCCAGGAGATCCCTGTCTTTTTTGTACCAGGGAGCCCAGAACTTGACACAGTACTCCAGGTGAGGCCTGACCAGGGCAGAGTAGAGGGGGAGGATCACCTCCCTTGACCTGCTGGCCATGCTTCTTTTAAGGCACACCAGGATCCTATTGGCCCTCTTGGCCACAAGGGCACAGTGCTGGCTCATGGTCAACCTGTCGTCCACCAGGACCCCCTGGTCCTTCTCCTCAGAGCTCCTCTCCAGCAGGTCGCCCCCCAGCCTGTACTGATACTTCGGGTTGTTCCTTCCCAGGTGCAGGACTCTTATTTAACTTCATTTGGTTTCTTCCTGTCCATCCCTCCAGCCTGTCCAGGTCTCACTGAATGGCAGCACAGCCTTCTGGTGTGTCAGCCACTCCTCCCAGTGTCGTCGACAGACTTGCTGAGGGCGGACACTATTCCCTCATCAAAGTTGTTGATGAAGATGTTGAGCAAGACTGGACCCAGCACCGACCCCTGGGGAACATCCATCAGAGTCTGAAGTGCTTATTCAGGCAAAAAGAGAGGGATTAGACCACACATTAAACCAATCCTATTACCCTAGACCTCAGCGTTCACATCTTAGTTGATTATCTTGATTGTACACTTGCAAGCTTTTTCTGAGGTTCTCAAATCCACCAGCCTATGATCCAGTTGGTAGCCACAATCTTTTTAGATCAGGAAACAAGACTCAGAATGCAATGCTGTTGTTCATACTGGTCTCAGTAATGACTTCTTCTGAAGGCATTCATTTGCCCTATTTTATCCCTGCTAGAAATTTTCTGCCTGGCACATCCATAAGTTGCCAATATCTTTCCATCATACTGGTGGCTTTTCATAACCTTCTTGTAGGTTTTTTATCCATTTTGTTCTCCTCCTCTCTTATTTGCAGCTGAACAGTTGCCAGCTCATGGCAGAGCTGTTGAGGCTAATTAGCTCCAGAGATTGTGACTTGGCACTTTTGACTGTTTGATCACCCTATTTCTGTTGCTGCAACTGTAATCAGATTAGGCCCGAAGGGGTTCCTACAATAATAACATCAAATGTTTGATTTCATTCAATTCAAAATACTGGATTTCCTATAGATTATTTTGTGATTTCTGCTGCGATATGGGTCTTTATGGAGCAGTTGCAGACTGAAGAACAAATGCCTCACTGTGACAAGGACTACCTATTGTTTCCCCTACATTTCTAACAAAGAAGCACAAAATCAAACACATGTTCTGCTATTTTAGTACCCACTTTGTAAATGGAGAGAATTTTAGAGAAGGATTAGACATGAAGACCAGACATCGAGGGCTTACAAATACTCTAATTACATCAAGAATAAGCAAAACTATATTATTAAGGTTTTCAGATTTAAAGACAAGCTTTCAGAAACTGAGGAAACTGAGGTTATTAAAGGGAGTCAGACTGAAGTGTTCAGAAATTCAAGTGCAGTAAAGACTCAAAAATCAAAAGCACAGAAGTTGAACTCAATCCTAAGCAAGAAGAAAAAATATGTAGGAAAGGGCTCCATACACGAACAGATGAACAGTCCTTTCAGTAGATAATATAAGGAAAGAACAATTCTACAGGGAATGAAAGATAAAAAGGTGAACAAAAGAGAGACATTATGAGGGGCTGAAAGCCCTGATCTCCAATGTAAAGATTTTATTTTATTTTATTTTATTTTATTTTATTTTATTTTATTTTATTTTATTTTATTTTATTTTATTTTATTTTATTTTATTTTATTTTATTTATTTTTTATTTTTTTTGTATATACCTGCAAAAAAAAAATTCATCCCATGCTTCTGGGTACATTGTTTGTTTCTCCTTTCTCTGTGTTATTTCTGGAATTAATTTTGTTTTCCTCTGAGTTCTATCTTTAAAAGGGAAAGGGTGAAAATCTCTCCTAAAATCAAGGTTTCTTACAAAAAATGTAAGGCAAATTCCCTGTTTTATCCTTATCCTTTGTGGGAGTCTTGTCACTGCCTAAAATGTCTGCAAAGCTTTGACATTAGAACTACCCTCACTTGCTCAATATCCAGTTTTATCTGAAAAGAAGAATCAAAGACAGAGAAAACATACTGTCTACTCTTCCTATACAGACTGTCTCCAACCTGGGGAAGCAGATTCTTCTTTAAATATCAACAAATACCTTATTAAAGCAGCATTTTTTTTTTTTACTGCATTCTTTACAATGTTAATAAAACATTGCATACTTAGAAATCTCAGATTTCCCACAAAACAGTATAAAAATATCAAACTGCTTTATCAAATTACTTTTCATTATGATTTGTCATAAATTAAATGTTCTTGAAAATATGAACCTGGAAACCAGTGTATCTGGAAATTCTGTTACAGTAATATAATCTGTTCTGAATTTTCGCTGTGCAAAGTTTGTCTTGACTGTCTTTTCCTCTGTCGGTATTTTGTTCTCTGTCATCAGTCTAAGTTAACAAGGGTTTTGTCAGTGATTTAGCTGTAATTGTATGAATGGAGGCTATCCCCTTAAAATAATACTAATATTCTTTATATATGTATATGTATTTATATTCTTACAAAGATTGCAATTTTTCCACTTGACACTGTGAAAATAATATGACTTTTCAAGAGTGAGCTGGTTTCTTCTCTGGGCCACAAATTAATAAAGTTGATACCAGCTGCAGTCGGTTCAAAGTCATAGGACAAAGTTTTGTAAAAACATTCTGAAAGTCAATGCAATCCATAGCAAAGATCAGAAAACAATTGAGGGTAGCATATGTCCTCACTCAGCCTTTATTACTGATATTTAGCTTCAGTTGTGGAATTTAGACAGAATATATTTCTTAAATGACATTTTTTTTCTTACTTCTTTGAAAACGTACTTCCTTAAAAGTACTTCCTTAGTACTTTGAGAATGAATTGCTGTTTCAAAATGCCTCTCACAATATGCCAGCAACTTTTTTTTTTTTTTTTTTTTTTTTTCCCTAAAGGATATAACCTTTTAAATCTTTCTTTTCTTCATCTAGCTCATCTACCTCTTGTTCAGCACTTTTGACCATTCAACAGTCAGCTGGAATAGTGTTCTCTGCAAGGAGAAAATGTTTTTATGCCTCATCCTAATAGATTTATTTAATAGAAGAGAAGTAAGTAATACATCTCATACTCTCAGCTGAAGAAGTACAGTTTCCTAGGGCACTAGGGAGTACACTGTTAGGAAGCCAAGTGGAACGAGATTTTATACTGCTCATCTTTAGCTGATGCTTAAGACATAATTGTATTTCAGTTGACACAGAAAGGTATATTCTCTCTCCTTCCAGATAAGGCCAAGAAAGATCAGCTGGCCAGTGCTAATAATAGACATGCCAAAAACATAGGCAGGAGCAACTATTTTTTGATTAAAGGTCTATTTGGCTATTGCTTTTTGTGCTCTGCTATTTGTTTAATTAAAGTATGAAAGGAAATACTTACTCTGTTGTCTGATTAAGAGATTTTTGGGCACCATATTGTAAGATGCAGAGAACAAAAAAGATATTATTTTTCATTACAATTATTTTTAGAATGTTAATGCAATTCCTATATGTGTAATTATACTTGCTTTGGTGTACCTGGTTGAAACCATGTAACTTGTACATGGTTGAAACCCTCGTAAAAAGTCTAACTGAGCACAAACTGTCCAGGCAAATCCTGGATCAGGTGGAGGAAGAGGCATAAATCTCCACCCCTCTGCACTGAAGAAGATGAGGCTTGTGGATAGGAAATTGCTTTCCACATAATTGTGGCTTTCTTCCATTCTCAGCTATGTTTCTTGGCCTCCACCCTTATAACCATTGAGATTTATCTCTGGTACAAGGAAAAAATCTTTACCTTCTCTTATTTTGTTGTTTATTTCTTATACAGTGTTTTTCCTTATTTATTTATTTATTTATTTATTTATTTGACTGGCCTTACTGAATACATGTTCCTTCTCTCACTAGATAAGGGCACAAGACTTAAAATTTTGTGACTCAGTGGTATCACTTAGGCCAAACTGTTAAATTACACTTTGGTTCCCAGCTGCCTTGTTTCTTTACATCCAGAATAGAAGTAAGGGAGTTGAACTCAATGAATGACAAGGCAGTTACAGGTTCACAGACTTCTCTGTGCTGATTAAAGTCATCACCATTTCTTGTGTTAAAAATAAATTAATAAAAGAAAAAGTAACTGAGTCATAGAATGGCTTGGGTTGGAAGGGACCTTAAAGATCATCTAGTTCCAACCCCCCTGCCATGAGCAGGGGCACCTTCCACTAGACCAGGTTGCTCAAAACCCCAACCTGGCTTTGAACATCTCCAGAGATCCAGAGATCCAGACATCTACAATTTCTCTGGGCAACATGTTCTAGTGCCTCACCACTCTCTGAGTGAAGAATTTCCTCCTAACATCCAATCTAAATCTCCCCTCTTTTAGTTTAAAACTTTTCACCTTTTCATATCACTATTTGCCTGTGTAAAAAGTCCCTATTCTATTTTATAAGCCCCCTTTAAGTACTGAAAGGCTCCAATGAGGTCTCCACGGAGTCTTCTCTTCTTCGGGCTGAGCAACCCCCGCTCTCTCTGCCCGTCTTCACAGGAGATGTGTTCCAGCCTCTGATCATCTTTGTAGCCCTTCTCTGGACAAGATCTAACAGCACATCCTTCTTGTGCTGGGGGCCCCAGACCTGGAAGCAGCACTCCAACTGGGGCTTCACAAGGGCAGAGCAGAGGGGCACAATCACCTCCCTTGCCCTGCTGGCCATGCCTCTGCTGATGCAGTCCAGGATTCAGTTGGCATTCTGGGCTGCAAGTGCATACTGCTGGCCTATGTTGAGCTTTTTGTCCACCAGAACCCCCAAGTCCTTCCCTGCATCAATGAGTTCTTCTCCCAGTCTGTACTCCTGCCTGGGATTGCCCTGACCCAGGTGCAGCACCTTAGACTTGGACCTGTTGAACCTCATTAGGTTCACATGGGCCCACTTCTCAAGCTTGTACAAGTCCCTTTGGATGGCATCCCTTTCTTCTGTCACATCAGCTGGACCACTCAGCTTGGTGTTATTGAAACAGAAATAGGTGTATCTTTTAGGAATAATAAATAAGTTCTCCTTGTTTGCATAATTACTACTGTAGTATTTTCTTAGATTATATTGATAGAAGAGATAAAGTTGCCATTAGAGCAAGAAGCCTCATTTTCCAAACTGCACCTTATTTGCATGGTGCAAAGCCAAAATATCCATACATCAAGTCAGCTGTGCAGCTGTGTGCAAGGCAGTACACAGGAGCAGGTAGAAGCGATGCTTCTGGGATTTCAGTGAGTGAAAGCCTGGACTCTTGCATGAGAGGAGCTCTGGAGATCTCACTCCCTTCTTAGGCCCTCATGAATACATGGCTGGATAGCACTACCATCTGTGTTTAAAAAATAAGTCTTCAGTGCTTTCACTGCTAGCCCTTGTTGAAAAATACAGCATATTCCAGTGCTGGTTCAATATCAATAATATTCCAGAAATTTACAGGCTGTGATAGGATTTATTTAGTTTATGGAAATCTATCTTATGAAACTCTCCTTTGTGTCTTGTGGAACAGCTGTCCAGAGATTAAGGCAGAGAAGCATTAGAAAGACCTGGAGATGCTCTCTTGGTGTAGGACAAAAATTACCTGTAACAACAGGAGAAAGGATTCAAGACAGCCAGCAAGAGCCGAGCCATTTGAAAGTCCAAATACTGAATTAGATTTCTGGCCTGGTCCAAGATCCATGATGATGCCACTAACGCTGTCAGTCTCTGGATTGTTTAATTCAAAGCAAGCCCTGTCGTATTTATTAGCTTGTACTACACCATTAGATTAGAGTGCAGGTTTGCCCTTTGAGAGAAACTCAAGGAAACTAGGTTAAGTAATATGAAGCAAAAATGTGTCATTTTAATTTCATGATCTTTGTCCCACAAACACTGCATTTTTCCATGCATGGCATGCCGTAAAAGTAGAAACCAAATGTTAACTGATTAAGCTGATTGAGAGTTTCATTTGATATCATGGGAAGGTACCCTGTACAAAGGTTGAAAACCATTTAAACAGTGAAGTGTGTTTCTTCCTCCTGTTTATAGCTGCGTGGCACAGGGTTTGTGTTTCAGGGTTGGCTGCACAAGTTAATTTTGTGACGTGCTTTTCTCTCCATTTGGCTGGATGATGCTATATGCAGTCTAGCACTAGATAATTTCATAATATAATTAGTCGTGAATTCAGTCATATTTACAATGGTGTATTACAAGTTCATCTCCAGTGTACTCACTTTGATGTTTTATAGCATTCCTGGTTCATTTAAGTTTTGGTGTCTGATCCTAGCTAGAAATAGCTGATATACTCCTAGGATCTGTCCCACTGATTTAGCATGGTTTGAGGTCAAGGAAGAATGTGGCATTGTACTTACAGGCCTTAAAACACTGCAGAAAAAGAGGCCTTCAAAACATATGCAGGAATAATTGAAAATATAGAAATTATTTGCCTGATACATGCTAATCAGAGATTAATAGCTCCTTCTTTGTGGAACGTGATCAGTTTGTTGTGCAATCTTATGTTGTGCAACATAAGATGATCACCTAAAGATAGCTGTTTGTCCAGTTAGATTTTAAGTATAATTTTTCTTCATAGCACACAGAGCCACATAAAAATAGGGAATGCAATATTTGAAATGTATCATTGAAATTTTAACTCCTAATACTATCAGATGGAGAACAGACAAACATAGCTAACACACCATAGCATCTATTAATAGGCCTGACTCCCTTTTGCAATGTCAACTGTAACATTAATCCTTGTTTTAAATCACAGTGTCTCAAATATCAGCTGTTACTAGTTGTACAGTTCTCTTTCAGTTTATATCAGAGAGCCCAATGGAGTCTTTTGAAGGACCTAGTAGGGTTAGCAAGGCTAACTTATTAGAAGTCCCTACTGTGAATGATTTCTCTTCTGAAGATGAAGATGTTAAACCTGACATTAAACATCGTTTCTCTCCACTTCCCCGAAGGCGGAATTCTGCTTCTTCAGAGGAAGAGGAGGCAGATACCCCCACCACCATTGCAAGAAAAGTTTCATTTGCTGATGCATTTGGGTTTGATCTTGTGTCTGTTAAAGAGTTTGATACATGGGAAGTTCCAAATCCAGCACAAAATAATGACTTAGAAGATGAAGTGTTCCCTCAGGAGGAATTTTTTTTATCTCAGCTGTTTACATTACCTGCTTCCCAAGAAGAACTTTTGCAAAAAGTGCGAGAGCAGAAAGTACTGCTGGAGTCAATTGTGTTCCTGCCTGGAATTACCTGTATGAACGGTATTATAAGAGTCCTCAATGTATCTTTTGAAAAGCAGGTATATGTTCGAATGACACTGGATGACTGGGTCAGTTATTACGATATCTTAGCAGAATTCATGCCTAATTCTTGTGGCAGTGAAACTGACCAGTTCTGCTTTAAGATTTCTTTAGTGCCTCCTTATCAGAGAGATGGAGCCAAAGTGGAGTTCTGTATACGATATGAGACATCAATTGGTACTTTCTGGGCAAACAACGATGACAAAAACTACACTCTGATTTGTCACAAGAAAGAAAATGTGTCCAAGCTGGATAATAAACCACACAGAGAAACTACTGATAGACATCTTAAAGGCTGCTTAAAGACAACACCAAGCAGGTGAGGTTTCATCTTCCCTTTTGTTAACTTACAAAATAGCTGGTTAATTCTAACTTTCTAACTTGCTGAAGCCAAGATTCCCACATTGATTGTTATTGTTTATATAATAAATCAGACCAAAACTTATTTTCAGTAAAGCTCTTGCAGATATCAGACAGTAGTTTTCTGCAAACAGTTGGTTGGAATCAAACATCATAGTTTTAATATATAGCATGCATGCCTCTTATATGAAAAGTAATGTGAGGGTCTACAAATTATGTGCTGTGTACTGATTTTGATCTCTGTAGCATATAAACTGAGCTGACATCAGTGGTCTGGTGAGCCTACTTTGCTCTAGACTGAAGTAGCTGTACGGTTAAAGCATTTCACATCCAGTCCCTTTGTAAGTCAACAAGAATTAAAAAGAAAAAGAAAATCCTGGAATTTCACATAATTTATTTCATATTTCCTTCTCTACGTGCAGCTACTAAAACAGAAATGGCAACAGTCAGGAAGCTGGTAACTCAGGGAAGGGTTCTGTTGCAATTAGAATAGCTGGTACAAACTTTTCTGCAATTGGCTGGGCTGTTCTGCAAGGTGCATCTTAGAGTAACAAATCCTCCTCCCTGCCATTGTTTAATGTTTTGTTTCACAACTGGTGAAATTAATAATGATTTATAAGGCAGAATTGGTAACATAATAAAAACAATACAATGTATTCAATATACATTGTTCTGATTAAACATAGGCAAGTATTCTGTTGATTATAAAGTGACAGTAGTTAACTTACAGCTTAACCCCATATGAAGAGAGAAGCAGGAACAGTAACTTTTAGCCTCCTACTCTGTTTTTAACTCCCTTTGTTTCTGTAAGTAAAACAATGTTACCCATGTAAATCTAATTCTCAGGTTTTTGTTTAGTAAACTTCCTCTAAATCCATAGAAATTCTGCAGAACCAAATCTATATTTTACCTGCAGCATCCTCTGCAATACTTAAATCCCTGAACTGAATTCATCTTGATTTTTTACTTCCTGTTTTCTTGCCAAGTAAGATGGTGCTCTTTGATTTCCCAGGTTTTAACTGCCTGCACTCTTCCACTGAACAGAACTGGTGGGGAAGCGGGAACAAACCTGTGGCAGTGGCTGGAGCTTAATGAGAAGGGAATCCTCCAAGGCTTCCCATAGCAGAGCCTCTCTGTTCTGTCTCCTCCTGTAGCCCAGGCTCACTGTGCTGAGAGCCTCTGGCAGCTCTAAGTGCATGAGTCCTGTGAGGGGATGTGTGAAATACAACTTAGTGCCTGCGTCACAAACATAGTGTAAGAGCAGGCCCCAGGGATAACCCAAGGTCCAGTTCATAGACAGTCCAGAGAGCTCTCCTGGCAAGGGTCTCTTGGGTCAGACCTGGTGTTTCCACAGGGAATGTTCTTGTACGTAAGAGCAGAGGGTTTAACGCATTTACCTGCTGCGTGGTCAGATCCTGACATTTGTGCCTGGTTCTGTACGTTGCATCTGTCCTTCAAGAAGTGTCACATGACTCATTCTGGGTAAATAAGGTAGCCTGAGGTATTCTGTAGAAGGGCCTTGATATCAGATAGCACAGGCATATGCAGGCAGTGTGATTTCAGGCTGAGTTCAGGTAGCCTACAAGGAGGATATGGATATGGAGAGCTGTCTTAATTTAGGGAACCCTGGGCTTCCAGCCGTGTTTGGGACTGACCTGCAAATTTAGATACAATTGGGCAGTTGATGTTAAGTGACAAAAACCAGTGTAATTCCCTGAAAACCCTGAAGTGATATATCTAGTGTTAGTATAAACTGTAGAAACATTTAATCTGGGGAATGATCTTTTGCATGTATATGCTGAATATATTATAGATATCTCAGCCACAAACATATATTAAAAAATTGAAAGATAACATGTCTACTTCCTAACATCAAATTACCTTGTCACTTATCAGAGATGGGAAGTTGTGTCCTTCCATAACAGTACGTACCAGAATGCATATATGTATATATGTGTGTGTCTGTGTGCACATATAAATGTGCATATATTACATATATACATATGTAAGCGTACATATGTATGCACACACATACCTATTTGTTCATGTATGCAGATGTACACACAACAATTTCTGACATTAAAAACAAAGTGATCAGGTTATTGTTTACATTAAGATTGCATACACGTTTTTGGCAAACAGTTACCTACATGCACTTTCAAGACACTTTTTAGTGGCAGAAGGACGTAAAGAGTCCTTACATTAAATGAAAAAAATGTGTTACAAGTATTTCTGGAATACAGTTTCAGTGGTCTCTATGGCTTCTGAAAGCCAGTGCTGGCAGATTGTAATCCAGGACCAATTTTATGCTACAGGGACTTCATTGACTTCACAGGAGTTACAGCTTTCACCAGTGTAAATGAGGTCAGCATCAGGGCCTTTCGTTTCAAAAGAACTAAGATGCCAACCTCCATTGCTCACTTGTTTTTCAAAGTGTCTTTGTACATGTTGCCCCTTTGAGTGAGGAGGAACACCCTGCAGACATCTGCAAAAGTACCTCATTATTCTCCTTCAGACCCTCATTAAAACTCCTTTGCTTTGATGTCTATAAAAAATTGCAAGAAAAACAAACCCCCCAAAATTGGCAAAGTGAGGCTGATGATGTGCTGTGACTACTTCATATCATGTTGAGCAGTGCTGTCTTTCCCTGCTCTCCTCAAAAAGACCTCCTCCCTTCCCCCCTTTTTCTCTCTTTCTCTTCTTGTTTCATGCTCAAATTATAAACTCTACAGAGTGTATATGTGCCGTGCTGCATGTATATAGAGTATTTAGCAAAGTGGGGTCCTGGACCATAACTAGGTTGTCCTAGAAACTGCAGCAATGCAAACAGATATACAGAGAATTAGTAACAATTTTACCTATGGATCACACAGGTAAGTAATATTGTTATCTAAGTCTACAAACTGGACGTCTTAAATTGATGATTCCTTTATAACAACCTAAATACAATGATATTTAAAAAGGGCATTTATTTAAGCCCCTAGTTCAAATTTAGAAACCTGTTATCATTTTAATTTTTAAATCTTGGCTTAAAGGTATTTATACTTTCTCTTAAATGTGCAATTTACCTTTTCAGTTAAAAAATAGGACTGTTAAAGAATTATGTTTTTTAAGCACATAGTCTGATCCACTCTAGGGCATACTTGTGTGGCTCATTAAATGTCATTAGTGAGGATTATTTGCGTTAGTTAAGTGAAAGGAATAATATGCGCTTTCAGAGGAAGTTACTGAGGAAACACAATATGACTGTATCACGTTACCCTTAAGAATATGAACCAGGACAAAGTTGTGTGAATAAGGCCAATGAGATGGCTTCTGACATCATTATGAAAAAATAAAATCAAAATGGACTCAACCCTCAAAAATCACACCTGAAAAAAATGGTAGCAAAAGGCAAAGCTGCATAGAATAATTAATGTTGAAAACTATCTAGATTTGGATGATCAAAACCACATGTCTATTCATTCCATGTTTTATATGCTTTTGCTTCTATGCCTAGACAAGAAAAAATAGTCTTGTCCCAAACTTTCATAAAATATTTGCTTCCAACTGTATTTCTCCATGCAAAAATTCTCTCCAATATAAATTTTAACAATTTTTGTTGTTTTTTGAAAAACTTGAAGATTCACAGGAACAAAGTATCGTTTGAAACAATAGTGTCTGAATTAATTACTTTATCTTTTAGTCAATCTGAAAGTGTGCATTTAACTCATATATTTGGGGGAAAAATTGGCTCCTAGAAATGTGAAGGTTGCCACTGGAAAAAGAAAAAAAAAAAAAGAGAGAGCTTCTGTCAGAAAACAGTCCTCATTTCTATCATATATACAAACACCTCAACATCAAGAAAAACATAATTGAATTGTATCAGCTCCAGTTTTTCCTCTTTTTGTTTGACTTTTGATTTTGGGACATGGATAATGATTCTGAACACAAATTTCTCCTGGTCCTCAGGTTTGGACCACGTGATTTTGTTGTGGACCCCAGGCTCCTGCATCGGTCTGATGAGACAGGGAATGGTTGTGTGTTGCATGAGGCAAAATCCCGTAGATCATGGTGCACGGCGCAGTGATAACGACCTGCAAACCTTTCCCCCCCCTGTGGCCAGTCACTGGTGAGGCTGCACCTTATTTCTGTGCTTGGTCCTGATTTGCCATCTGTCAAGAGAGCAATTGGAACAGCAACACGAGGAAAATGTATGATAAGAATGAGAAATGTTTCTCAAAAGGCTAAAATGTATTTGGACTCCTGTCCTCTGACAAGGAAAGGGAAGCTAATATGTTTGTCATAACTGTTAGTTATCCCACTCTTAACTCTCTAAGCCCACAAATGTATCACTCTGAAATGATGTTGGTCCTGTGTTTCTCTGGTAATTGCTGGACATACTTTTCTCTGAATGGTAGTACATTGATTTATTTCCCTCCATGATGCCTCCTTAAAACAGAACACAAAATAAGTGATGTCTCATACAAGAGCTGCTCTATGTAAAATGTGTGATGAGAAGGAAGAGATTAAAAAAAAATATGGTCTGCAGGTCACCAATGCTAATTTTCATCAGATTAAATATATAATAATAGTAATTGTAAAATAGAATAATAGTAATGATAATATTACTTAGTAATAATAATAGTAATTGTCAGTTAATTTCTTCTGTGCATGAGTACTTTCCTGTCTTCATCTCCAGCCTCATCCACTTTCTGATGGAAGGCAAAGGAAATATGTTGCTGAAGACACGTGAACCAAAAATGTCCCCTTGCTGCAAAGAAAGCCAATGGTGTCGTGGGCTGTGTTAAGCAAAGTATTGCCAACAGGTTGAGGGAGATGTTCCTTCCCTTTACTCAGCACTAGTGAGGACACACCTGTGTCCAGCTCTGGGCTCCCCAGTACAAGAATGACATGAACATACTGAAGAGACCAAAGAAGGGCTATGAAGGGATTGGGACATTTCTCCCAATAAGGAAA